CATACTCTGGTGAGTATAAATATATATGTCTCTTTTATCTTCACTCTTCCAATTGCAATTTGCTTATTAAATTAATTCACTTATCATATCATTTGCTTATTATATCTGCATTGCCATTTACATGGGATAAAGCTTGTTTACCCTTAAAGGTATTGTGTGTGTGTGTCTTTTCTCCCTTTGCATGTTTCCTGAACAGAACAGCAGCCTGAGAAAACTACTACCAGAAATTCTATTTGTTTTATATTTAACATGTATTGGGTAGAGAGTATAAAGATAGAAGAGTCCTAGTTCTTGAGGAGCTAAGGGCTTACTAGGAAACCAAGAATGTCTCCAAAATGGAATCCACAGAGAGATTTGGACTTAAGAAAAAAGAGTAATTTTCTCCTAGAGGAGTCCCAAAAATATACTTACTGGGTTGCCTTGGCTTAGAGATTTTTCTGATGAAATACAGTTCAAGGGTATCTAGACTAGGGAATTCTTTATTGGTGATGTTGATGAAAAGACTGACACTCAGCAGTTGTTTGGACTATATAATCTTTAAAGGTTCACATAATTTTCAATTGTTATTGCTGCTCTTTGTAACTTGAGCTTTAAATATATATATTTTTTTAATGCAATCATGCATTGCTTAATAACAGGGATATGTTCTGAGATACTCATCATTAAGCAATTTTGTCATTGTACAAACATCATAGAGTTTACTTACGCAAACGTAGATGTTACAGCCTACTACACACTTAAGCTATGGTGTAGCCTATTGGTCCTCGCCTAAATGTGTACAGCATGTTACTGTATTGAATACTGTGGCAATTGGAACACAATGGAAAGTATGTGTGTATCTAAGCAGATCTAAACATACAAAAGGTATAGTAAATATATGGTATAACAGATAAAAAATGGTGCACTTGTGTAGGGTACTTACCATGAATGGAACTTGCAGGACTGAAGTCGCTCTGGGTGAATGAGTGGTGAGTGGTGAATGAATGTGAAAACTTAGGACATCACTACATACTACTGTAGACTTCTTAAATGCTATACACTAAGGCTATACTAAATTTAATTGAGCATGTTTTCTTTCTTCAATAATACATTAACCTTAGCTTATGGTAACTTTTTTATTTTATGAACTTTTAAATTTTCCAAAGACTTTTGACTCTCCTAATAATACAATTTAAAACACACATTGTACAGCTATACAAAAATATTTTCTTTCTTTATACCCTCATTCTATAAGCTTTTTTCTATTTCTAACTTTTAAAGTCTTTCTGTAGTTTTCAAATGTTTTTGTTAAAAACTAAGACAAACATGGCATTAGCCTATGCCTACACAGGTCAGGATCATTAATATCACCATCTTTCACCTCCACATCTTGTCCCACTGGAAGGTCTTCAGGGGCAATAGCACTCATGGAGCTGTCATCTCCTAGGACAACAAAAGTCTTCTTCTGACATACCTCCTGCAAGACCTTCCTGAAGCTATTTTATGGTTGACTTAAAGAAATTAAGTAGAAGAGGTACACTCTAAAATAATAACAAATCATTATGTTTGAATAATGGTAAATATATAAACCAATAATGTAGTTGTTATAATTATCAACTATTATGTGCTGTATGTTATTGTATGTGCTATCCTTTATATGACTAGCAGCCAGTAGATTTGTTTAAACCAGCATCACCACAAAGGTGAATAACACATTATTCTACAACACTACAGTATTAGTTCATTCTTGCTCTGCTATAAAGAAATATCTGAGACTGGATAATTTATTAAAAAATGGGGGGGTATTAATTGGCTCACAGTTCCATGGGCTGTACAGGAAGCATGGCTAGAGAGGCCTCAGGAAACTTACAATTGTGGCAGAAGGTGAAAGGGAAGCAGGCAGGAGCTGGAATCATGGTCAGAGGAAGAAGAGAGCAAAGGGCGAGGTGGTGCACACTTTTAAACAACCAGATCTCATGAGAATTCACTCAGTATCCTGAAAACAGCAGGGGAAAAATCCACCCTATGATCCAGGCACCTCCCACCAGGCCCCTTTTCCAACATTGAGGATTACAATTTGACATAAGGTTTGGTTGAGCATACACATTCAAACCATATCAGCTACCTTGGCTCTGACGTAACTAGGAAATAGAAAATTTCCAGCTCCACTATAATCTTACAGGACCACCTTCATATATTTGATACAGTCTTTTTCCTCCTTGTCTTAGCCAGGTTCGAGTTCTTGTCTTGTGACCAGAAAGAAAGACTCGTGGATACTGAAGTGTGAGTGAAGTAGAATTTATTAAGCAAAAGGAAAACTCTCATTGGAGAGGGGATGAAATTGGCGAAGGGTGGTTCCCCTACCTGAAGGCAGGAAAATACCTCCCTGTGGCTGGACCTGGGGCCTTTATGGACTCAGAATGGGGAGTGCATGCATATTGTTTTGTGACTATGCGAAAAAGGTTAAAGCAAAGACACCACTCAAAGGTGGGCATGACAGTGTAGAAAATCAATTAGGGAATAGTAGGTATATGTAAAATAGGTGAAGGGAGGGGATCCATCAGAGGAAAGTACACCAAACAAGAAGACAAGTTCTTAATCTGGTCCAAGGATTTAACTTGTAGCTTGGCTTTCAGGCTTTTAAACTGTCTTCAGCTTGGAGGTGGGGTTTCACCAGAGACCATCCCCAATCTGCCTAGGCATTTGGCTGCCTCCTGTCCCTATTATTTGCAGTCAGCTGTTGACTGAAACATTATTATGCAGCTCATAACTGTAGTTTTATGCTAATTACAAAGAATTTGCAAGGACAGTATAAAGAGTTCCTGTACACATATCACCATATTTCCCTTTCATTTAAAAAATTATGTATTTAGTCTAGAAACAGGGTCTTACTCTGTCACCCAGGCTGGAGTACAGTGGCATAATCTCAGCTAACTGTAGCCTTGAACTCCTGGGCTCAAGCAATTCTTCTGCTTTAGCCTCCTGTGTAGCTGGGACTACAGGCATTCACCACCATGCCTGACTATTTTTGCTTATTTTAAAATAAAGATTGGGACTTGCTACATTGACCAGGCTGGTTTTAAACTCCTGGCCTCAAGACATTCCTCATGTTTTGGCTCCTTAGAGTGCTGGGATTACAGGCATGAGCCACCATGCATGGGCCTTTTCCTTTTTGTTAATATCTTACATTTGTCACAACTAATGAACCAATATTCACTTGAGCTTTGGGACTTGCTTATTTTAGAAAAAATTGCAACTTTATTTTGTTTTCAGTTTAATCACACTAATGTGTTTCTTTGCTTTGAAAGTAGTCATCAAAAATACAAATGCTGAATGGTTCTTTTAACAAGAAATTTGGTTGGGACTTTTAACTGAGTAAAAATGTTGCAAGAAGCGGCAAACACTTACCCCCAATCCCTGCCACGAATATCACAAAAGTGGATGAAACAAAAGCTTTAAAATCTTGAGACATGTTAGATATTCCAAAATGGAGACTGTGTAGGCTCTGATATATAAATTCTGATATATGTCTGAGAAAGAAAAGTAAAACACAGCTGCTTCTAGAGCTCTGTTACATGAATATAACTAGAATGAACTTATGCTAAAGCAGAAGGCAGGGAATGGCTCTACTTTTTTTTTGGTTGTCGATGTTGTTAAAATACATAGCCTTAAAGGCAAAACCAAGATTTTGTTTTCTTTGTATTCAGAATAACAGATTTCTCTCATACTTTTAATGTAGCTGAAATATGGAGATCCTTTCTGATTGACTTCGGAAGCTTTCTACACCATACTTTTGGGTTGCATATGTTTGACCTTGAATAAGTGGTGCAGATTACTTAAGAGTTTATATCTCTGCACCTGAGGTGCATTAGAGATCAGAGGTGCTTATTGTAGAAGGATCAGAGTGACTCTTTCACTTAGTACTTTATTGTTTTTTAATTAAAAATTTTCAGATTAAAAACCATACAATGAAGGAGGTAAACAAAAAAGATATCATCATGCTATTTATCCCTTTTTCCTAGAAAATTAAATTATCCCTGAAAGAAGTAATTGGAAAAAAAAATCGGTTGTCTCTCTGTACAGGTCTTGGTGTGTTGACAATTGATTTTTTTATGACGGGTTATCTCTTCCTAAAAAAAATATAATTTGTGAAATCCCAAACTTTCTAAGAACACTGAAAATGTCTTTCTTTTCCATTTTAACCTTCAACCTCAACAAGTAAATTTTGATGCAACTCTGTCTGTATCAAAAAAGAACCAATAGAGTAACATTAGGCTTGTGCAACCCACACAGAAGGGGGAATGAAGGGGAAATGGCATGTTTAAATAGCGGCATCCCTGTGGGCGTTGGATTACGTGACACCTACTAAAAACAGTCAAACCTTCTGCTCATTGTTGGAAACTGTTTCCGACATTGCTCCATTTGGCAGCCCTTCTCTTCCTGTGAAAAGGGACGGCTGTCTCTATCCTCACTGGGTCATAACAAAGATCATATCCATCCCCATCTGTCGCAGCTGGACATGGTCAACATAATCACCAAGTTGGAGAATGTTAATTCCACACAGATCTGTATGGTAACTGATAAAAGTATGAATAACCAAAGATATAGATATGTAACTTGATGAAGACCTTTATGAACAATTACAAATAGTCTAAAAATATTAAAATTAGCACAGTGTACCACGTGCCAGAATTAGCATTCACATTTATGAGGCCAGATAAGAATCAGTTGATCCCATTAAGCTAAATCAAGTCAATGAGAAACTGTGCAATAAGAGACCAAAAACATTACCCCAGCCTCATTAGGCCAAAGCTTCTTTAGTCCTTCAGTGAAGAGGGATTAGAAATTAACAGCTCCTGAAAATTTGCTGTATACATGTTTGTTTACATTAACTATTGAGTAAATAATAAATATTTTATTCTACATTCCAGGCTGAGTCCTTATCAACTATTTTTTGTGTTTTTTTTTGAAATCTCAAGTCATTGACTCCTTCAGCAGTGGTTTAAGGAAGTATCTTAATTTTTTAGTCAAATGTTGACCATGCAGCCAATTGTTCTCCTGTAGAGTGAACAAAACCAGGTAAAAGGACTTCTATCTAGGTGCTACTTGAGCAAAGTATGCTTGTCAGAAACAGCCATACATTACCCTGTCTTCATTTGCCTCTGATCTGTGTTTTTCTAAGTAATGGGCTGACCATTTGTGTCAGAATTCCCACAGTGATAATTTATATTATAGATTGGTACTGGGTAAAGAAAATATAGTACATATGTAGCATGGAATACTACACAGCCATGAAAAAGAATGAAATCACATCTTTTGCTGTAACATGGATGCAGCTGGAGGATATTATCCTAAGCAAATGAATGCAGAAACAGAAAACCAAATAACATATATGTTCTCATTTAAAAATGGAAACTAAACATTGAGTACACATTGACATAAAGATGGTAACAACAGACACTGGGGACTACTAGATAAGGGATTGTTGGGGGGAGGGGCAAGGGTTGAAAAACCATGTATTGAGTACTATACTCACTACCTAGATGATGTGATCGTTTATACTTCAAACTTCAGCCTCACGCAGTTTACCCAGGTAACAAACCTGCACATGTACCCATGTATTATTTGTATATATATATATATATATATATATATATATATATATATATATATATATATAATACAGACTTTGGGGTCCTTCCCAGACCTAATGAATCAGAAGTCCTCAAGGTGTTTCAGAATCGACATTATAAAGACAAAACTAGCTTCTCTGAATGAGCAAACTAGAGACTGATAACTGTTGCTTTAGATACTGATGAGATAAAAGAGGAATTAATTCTGTATAGAAAGTCTATGGGAAACCGAAGGTAATTACTAGTTTGTTATTCTTCCTCTGTAAAAGTTCTATTTGTATCCATAGATGATTATCTCTGGAAGATTTTATTTGGATGTTGAGAATATTTATACTAAGTTTATGGAGGTAGCTATTATTACATACTTAAGAACCGATATGAAATAAATATGCTGCATATCTACGGATGATTTTCAAATTATTCCAGCAATGTATAAAGCACTTATTTAAAAACTTAATTGAAATACAACTGCAACAAATCTATTTTGACAATTCCACATTTCTTCAGATATCTAACAACCACCTACATATTTTCAGAGCAAGTTTATACAGTTTTGTAAATCATCAATGTAAATCAGGGCAATTAACTAGTTACTGAGTGTCACTCTGCTGAGAGTCTAACAGAAAATATTCTCAATATGATTTCATTTTCACTGGACATTAGTAATTCTGCTTTGGGAGCTGGGCCAGTACAGGAGCCAAGAAATCTTGATTTTTAATTCCCTGACTTATATGAAATAATCTTTCCCTACAAGGTGATCATATCAAAATAATATTGATATTTGAAATAATACCCAGAAGTGTTGTTGCTATTGTTTTAATTAGGAGAAATAGTAATTCATCAAAACTAAGAATATTATATCTTTAAAATGTGGAGTGGGGATCAAGAGTGTAGAATTGGAACTGAACAGCTTAGTCTCAAAATTCTAGGTTCACCAGCGTCACCTTGGCCAAAATACTTCTCTGCACTTTGGTTTTCTTACCTGCAGAATGGTAAAAATAATTGCACCTTTCTCATTGGGCTGTGGTGAAGATTACATAAGTTACATGTTTAAAAACAAAAGTTATGTGTTTAAAGGCCACATAGTAAGCACTCAATAAAGTGAAACTATTTTATTATTATTAATCCATTTAATAACCTGGTAAGGGTATGTCTCAGGCAATTAGTCTTTGTTTTCTATGTATTTCCCTATCCTTTTTTTTTTTCTCACTAGTATCTTGAGGGTTCTTTTCCCTACTTCAGCCCAAACCAATGCTGAAAAAAAGATTCAAATAAACTATTAACTTACATGCTAAATAGATTTTTGGGTCATGTTTTGTTTTGTTTTGTTTTCCTATAGACCATAAGATTGAGGGCTTGGAGCAGGAGAAAGAGAAAAGGCAGACAATGACTTTATAGGGAAAGAACTGAAAGACAACACTAGGAATTCTCAAAGTGAGAGGAAAGGGAAGGCCTTTTCTTGGAAATGGCCTCTGATAAACACACCCTCCAGGGTTACACATGCCACTGTATCTTCCATGGAAAGACAAGCTGCACGTTAGCAGTCCTGAATATCTGGAAACTTCCTTTAACAGAGAGTGAGGAATCTGTCATCTTGCATGATGGGAGCTTGAAGGAAAAATCTCAGCCTTCCAGAACATTATATAAAACCAGTTAAGAATTCCCCTAAGAATGGAGCAGTGGACAAACAATTGCCGTTATAATCCAAATACATGAGTCTACCTACATAATGGAGAAATGCTAACTTACAAACAGGTGGACTGATGTTTGAATGGTTTTAATTTCCTACAATGAAATTACAGGAATTATACAATTATGTTGATTAACTGTCATCAGTTTTGAGTATAGATTAAAAAAAAATCCATTCCTTCTCAAATAATTCTTCCCTCCCGCATTTCAAATTTTTCTCTCTCTCTCTCTCTTTCTTTTTTCTTAGACAGAGTCTCACTTTGTTGCCCAGGCTGTGCTGCAGTGGCATGATCTTGGATCACTGCAACCTCTGCCTCCTGGACTCAACTGATCCTACTGCCTCACCTACCAAGTGGCTGGGAGTACAGGTGCAAGCTACCAGACTTGGCTAATTTTTTTACCTTTTATAAAGATGGAGGGATTTCACCATGTTGCCCAGGCTAGTATTGAACTCCTGAACTCAAGCAATCCACCTGTCTCAGCCTTCCAAAGTGCTAGGATTACAGGTGTGAACCACTGGACCTGACCTAAGTATCTCTCTTAAATGAATTATTTCCCTCTATCACTTAACAAAAAATACCTTTTTAAAAATATTGAAAATTGCTTCCTCTTGACAAAACCTCCTCAATCTCATACACCAGCTTCCATGTCTCTCATAACTTATTTGTACACTGAGCAACTAGTATACCACTGCTAGTTTCACATTTTCACTGTTTATTCTCTCCCACTCTATCTATCTATAGTAACATATTTGTATAGTAAATAAGTATAGTATATTTGTAAAATTGCATTTCCCAAAATAACCAATAACTTTCTTGTCCAATTTTTTTTCAATTATTATTTTCTTTGACTTGTCTGAATTATGTGACATCAATTCTGAAGTGGTATGACTCTGTACTCCTACCCAAATTGCATCTTTAATTGTAATCCCCATAATCTCCACAGATGGAGGTAGGGACCTGGTAGAAGGTAATTGGATCATGGGGACAGTTTTCCCCATTCTGTTTTTCTGATACTGAGTGAGTTCTCATGATATCTGATGGATTTATAAGTGTTTGACAGTTCCTCTTACATTCACTCTCTCTTTCTTTCTCTCTCTCTCTCGCCTGCTGCCATGTTAGACATGCCTACTTCCCCTTCCACCATGATTGTAGGTTTCCTGAGTCCTCCCCAGCCATGTGGAACTGTGGGTTAACTAAACATGTTTCCTTTATAAATTACCTAGTCTCAGAAATTTCTTTACAGCATTGTCAAAATGGACTAATACTAATCTCCCTGTCTATTTCCTTGAAATTATGCTCCTTTAATTACTATAGTATTGTAATTATGCTAATGTTTCTTCTTCCTTTATAGTTCTTTCTGGTATCTTAGAGGTCATCCCAGGCCTCAAGAAACCTCCAGTCTAATGTAAAGACTGACATTTTGCACTCTGTGCACAAACTTCTTCTCAGCGATTTTTTTTCCTCTAAACATTTGCTAGTACCCAATTATGTGTAAAGCACATAATGTACTATGTGAACATGGATGATGGGGAGAGGTAATTTGAATGAAAGAGATGGGGAGGTTTTGTACAATAGGTGACATTTGGGATAGACATCTAGACATCCAAGGATAGAAAATTTCAACAGTAAGAATTGGCAAAAAGATATTCCACATTGAAGGGACTACTTGAGCAGTGACAGTAAAGTAAAAAAAAAAACAAAAACAAAGACAAAAACAAAAAAAAACCCTGCATATTCTGGATAGTTCTGGTAAGATGTACATGGGGATAAAATAAAAGATGTGACTATGGTACATCGTGGGGTTTGGGGAGCATGTAGATCATGGGTGAATGCCTTGATGCCTGGACTTTATGTGGTGAGAAAGAGCCATCAACAATTTAGGGACAGAAATGCCTCACTATTAAAGTTATATTTTAGAAGGAGAACACAAGTGTCACTGTGGAGAATATATTAATGAGGAGGAGATTTTAGTGCTGGGGCATCTGTTTTTTATTTATAACATTCAACATCAATTAGATATTATTCTCTTGTATTACCTATCTTTTCTATTGCTAAATATGTACTTAGGTGTTGACTTCTAAGTTATTAAGCTCTAAGACAGGGCAATCTTTTTTCCTTTCCAGAATATTATTTCATACACAGAAGTTATCACTCTGCCTTAAACATTACCATTATCATCATTGTTATTATATTAACTGACATGTACTGAACACTTACTATATACCAGGCACCATGCAAAGTTCGTTACACACTTTATATTATTGAATCCTTAATATGACTGTTCCTATTTTGAATGTATAAACAGGGACTTCGAGAACTTCAGTCATTTTCTCTAAGTCATATCATTGTTAAGCAGTGGAGCCAGGAATCAAAACAAGTTTTTTTATGACTCCAAAGATATTGACAGCAGTGTCAAATAGATTCTCCATAGTGGTCAGTCAATGTATACTTTTGAATGATTGGATAAATAAAACATAGTGGATAAAAGAGTAAAGCCTTTTGGGTTTAAATTGATTCATATGGGCAAATTAAACTTATTCGTTCATATTGGGATGATATCCTCTGTTTGAATTGTGCAAATATGTTTATCCAGTATTTTGAGATAATTTTTTGTGTGTGTGTTTGTATGTGTGTGTGTGCACATAGGCATCAGAATGACTTTATTCCTCTCCTAAACTTCTTGGTCAGGCCTTCCTAAGCAGGAGCTGAGCAAGGAACGGGACCTGGCTGCCACTCCCCTGCCACCGCTCTGACCTGGGCAAGGCTGGAAGCTGGCATTGTAATGGATGGGGGAAGGGGCGAGGACCTGAGGTTCCCCTGAGTAGATCCCAGTACCTTGGACATATTGGCCTTGTCCTGACTTAAACGTGTGGCATAAGGCATTATTTGGTATAAATGGTATAAGGCATTATTTAGATCAGTAAATGAACATCATTAAAGAACCTTGTAGTAACCAATGTTGCTCTATCCAGATTTGCTCTCATGCCTTTTAACTGTTCCTGTGTGTCACCAGACTTTTAATATATTTTTGTTCATGTCATTCATAAACTATAGAAAAATTTTTGAGGACTTTTCTCAGACTACTGGAGCCTTTGATTGAACATATGGGAATTTCCATCCTCCTGGTGTGACCCTTAGCCCATGACTATGTGGGAATATGAAAGCCCAACTACTCTCTTGACACAGATTAGGACAACTCTGACATGTAACTTACTCTCCAGAGTTCCCCTGTGGGATCAGGCTGAGGTTATCCTGTGTGGGAAAGGCTTGAGGTCACACCGTTATCTTGATTCCTCCCCTTAAATTTCCTACTTACTTCACCCTTTTATTAGTTTTGCTAATAAGCATTTACTTGATAAATCACTTGTCTATGAACCTTCATCTCAGGGTCTGCTTCTGGGGAAACTGACCTAGGAAAAAAATTGTACACCAAGGCCTAATGGGTGAGCTCATTTTTTCCTCTTAAATAAACATTAGTTTATTTTTTTTTTCAATATTTAACACGGTATGTGCACTTTCCTACTTCGTTTTAGGTGAAAAAATAAATTAACAACCAACATTACATGCAGGGTCATGTTTAAATACTCTCTGTATTACACAAGTTTTCATGAGTTATAATTTAACCTTTAACAATTTTTGTAGCAAGCCATACAGAAAAATTTTCTGCTGGATGTATTCATGTATAAAAGTACAGCATATGTATTTATTGTGTAAAAACTAAAAATTGCTTTAAAAATTCCACTATCGAATTTCTGGGAGTTTGAAATGCTATTCTTCAGTCATATTCTAAATATAGTCAATGTACTTTTGTCATGTGGGTACTTTTTGAATTCATATGGTTCGGATAATTCTATTTCTCCCAATATTATGAGCAAAACATTGATATGTTTTCTTTCTTTATTTCCCAAGCTGAGCATTTTCTTTCTTCCTCCAGGACTGTAGACAAGCAAATCATTCCAAATATAGCACAGGGAAACATCTTATGTTTAAATCGTAAGGGTTTTTATGGGTTTTGTGCTGTTTGCCAGCTTCATCCTCCACTTTGTTTCAGGTGACATTCTGAATGATGGCAGTTACTTCTGTATTGAGACTGGTGATGATGAGAAATTCTCTCAACTGACTAGGCCTTCAACATATCTTATGTTCTTTAAATGGAGATCAATGGTCCTCATGTCTTGCAAACTGGTTGGACCCCTTTCCTTCCACCCACTTTCTTTAGATTGTAAGCAATTAATGTGACCCCATCAGCATCCTAAACCTACTCATGGGACTGAGTCCACTCACATGGAAAGGAGCTACCAGACCTAGAAATTCTCCTTAAACTTGTAGAAGAAACAGACATGAGGAGAGATTTTAGTTTAGGAGAATATATGTGTGTGTGTGTATATATATATATATATATATTCATTCTTAGTCCTTTTCCAATACATAATACTAGCTACTTCCTATGTCTTAGAAGCTACATTTTAAATCCTGATTAAGGTATGTCCTAAAGCTTCACAGTAGAGGAGATGCTCTTTGCTTAGGTTGTTATGCAAAATTATGGCCCATTGTTTTGGACAGAGCCTCTTCACAAGGCCCCAGTAGACCAGACCAAACCAGACTGGAGTCACCTATGCTAAATGCCACATCACCAAATTGAAACTTTAAGGAACCACCTTGATTTCCATACAGACTGTTTTATTTTCCTTGAAAACAGATTCTAGTCTACCTGAACCAGCATAACAAGGAAGTCCCCTCTGCATTAACCCTTACCAAAAGAGTAACTTGGGGTAACCTGGTGTTAACCGATTAGTTTATTCTAATATTTGTCTTGTTCCCACCTTATAAATCTCACTGTTCTGCCATTTTCCAGTGGGACCCCTCATTTTGTTTTGTTGAATGAAGGATGCTCAACATCATGCATCACAAAGTCAATTCGTTCTGAAACTAAATTGGTTGTAATTTTGTCTTTTGACAAGATGTTAGCTGATCTCCCCTCATGGGAGGGCAGGGTGTGGTAATTCAGGAAAACTAGCCAAAGATAAGAGAAGCAGATGAGAGAAGCAGATAAAAGATGGAAGATTAATACCCAACAACGACTAAGGAGGAATGCTAAGATTAAGCTCTACCATCAAGTTCTATGGCCCATTGGATGCTGGTCATGAGAGAGAAATA